TCATTGGTGCTTGGTAACCTGATTACCTTTTTGGAGTCTACACAGACCATAATCAGATATTGTAATTTGCATTTATTTCTGCCACAATTTTCATCCATTACAGTTGTGAAGGTCCTTTGATGTCAAGTCTGTTTCTAAGTAATCTAAAACTTCTCAAGACAGTTCAAAGCATTATTCAGATTGAGGAACTGGAAGCCTAATTTGCTATGCAGTATGAAATCCAGAGATTTCAGTCTCCTGAACTTTAAAGAAAGCATAGCCAGCTTTCTTTCTGTTAATTGAAATTAAAACATGTAGGTTCTTTTATATTTATGAATTAGAAAAGCAAGAGATTATTCAGTGAGAAAAGTTACAGGGAGAAACTCCTAGGGTTGAAGTTGTACACATACCAGGTGATCTTTTTTTTTTTTTTTAATGAAAAAAGTAATACCAAATGTTTGTTTATTTTGGTAATACATGTAAATAAAATAACTAAAAATGAAAATATGTCATAATCACCTGATCCATAACTAACTGTATATTTTGATGTGTTTCCTTTCAGTTGCTTTATTTCCATGTTTTTGAATATATAGGGAATTATATTATTAAACCCTCCTCTTTCATTGTATAAACATGTTTCAATTTATATAATAATTATTCCTTTATGAAACTTTTAGTTTTCTAGATGTTTGGCGGTATTAAAAACTCCTGTAATTAACATAATATTTATAAACCTCAGTTATCATTTCAAATTATTTTTTATGACAAATCCCTGGGAAAGAAATTATTGATTCAATGGCATAAACATTTTAAAGCCTCTTAGTAAAAATTATAAAAATGCTTTCTGGAAATGTGTACTGTTTACTTGCCCAACAGCAACATACAAGAGTACCTGATGAGAAGTGATGGAAATTGAATATTCCACAGGTGCTGAAAATGTGTTAGCGGATAGAGACAAAAAGATATTATAATATTACACTGGATGAAACAGAGTAAGAAGAGAGAATAAAATTCCATCCCTAGAAAGAAAGAAATTATGTATGTTTTTGTTACGGCCAACAAAAAATGGGAGTAAGACATGTTGTTTATCTTTATGGTTACCTTTTATGTCTTTTTGTTTTTTTGAAGTGTCTGTTTTTTACGTATTTTGATGGGCTGTTTATCTTTTATTGTTGAATTGCAAGCACTGTTTATATATTCTGAATACAAGTCTTCTGGCAGATACATTTAGTGCAAATATGTTTTCAGTTTATCTTTTTATTTCTTTAATGTTTCTTTTGATGAGCAGAAGTTTAAACATTCTTATGAATTCCAGTTTTATGAGGTAGGCTTACTTCATGTTGGAGCTGTTTGTGTCCTTCTTAAGAAATCTTTGTTACTACAGGAAAGGAGGGGAAGATACTCTCCTTTGTTTTCTTGTTGAAGATTTATAGTTTTAGCTTTTATGTATACAAGTGTGTGATTCAGCTCAAATTCTTGTGTACTGTGTGAAGTAACTTCAAGATTCATTTTTAAGAAGATATTTATCTGCTTTTCCCCAGCACTGTTTGTTAAATAGCCTTTCCTTTCCTATGGAGGTGCCTTGGTGCCTTTGCCTCTTGATTGCATGTGGTTCTTTTTCTGAACTCTATTCTGTTCCATTGTTTTTTTTTAATCCTTATGCCACTACCACACTGTTTTGATTACTGTAGCTTTATAGTGAGCCTTCAACCTGGTAATATGAATCATTGCACTCTTTTCCTAAGAGCATTTTGGTTATTCTACATCTCTTGTGTTTGTTTATAGATTTTAGAATCTTTACTTTTTCATAGAAAATGTTCTTGACCCATAGTAAGTGTTCAGTAATTTCTGGATTTATTTGAATGAGCAGAAGGAAGGTTTTTCAGATAAAGCCCTTCCCTTTTTATTTCTTCTGCTCCATTATAGCTACTGGCTGTCCATTAATCATATGCTAATGTTGCCAAAGTAAGGAAGACGACTCTAGGTGGCATGTGGTAGAATTTGAGAACATGAAATTATAGGTGCAACCTAAAATCATAAAATGCTAGTGCTGAAACAGACCATAGCAGCCCACTAAAATCTCATCACTTAACATGTAAAGAAACTGAATTGATAGAGTGATTTTTGCTATAAATAGCTACTCACATGGACAGTGATCAAGTAAATAATAATGCTATCGCTGATCGTATTTAGGCTGCTTACAGCATTTCTTGCAGTAGGATATTAAACACACCCATGTCCAGAAGTCTTAATATTTGATAAAATGGAAAAAAGCAATAAAATGTAATGGCATTGCTTCATGGCAGTAAAACAGCTTGTAAAAACTTGTATAGAAAAGTATGGATTGGATGATAATGGTACCACTGCAGATTTCTCATTTGGTGACGAGAGAGGGAGAAGAACCCCCTGTGAGACAGTTCAGTTGAGGGAATTTAATACAGGAGACTAGTTACAGGATGTGGGGAGAAGAACTGAAAAGAGAGACCCCGTAGATAGCAATCCACGGATTAGCCGCTGCAGAAACGAAGTCTTTAAATACTACCTTTACTCTAGCTTGTTCCAAAAATAAATTAACGTGGCTGTGCTGACAATAATAGAACTGTCTTTATTCTGAAGAGCTAATTACTGTAATCCCTGCTGTGCGCCCGCGCAGTCATCTTGGGCTGATGCTGAAATGCCAGTGGAACTGCCGCTGACAGCTCTTTACCTCTGTCTGTTTGTGGTATTTGCTATTGATACATCATTGAGGCTGAAAATATGGCTTAAATGTGCCCTACGGTACTGCACGAGCCTTCTGATACCAAGGGGCTGGAAAGTATTTAAGCAATTTTCAGTCTTGTCAAACTCAGAGGAATAAGATCTCACTTGGCAAGTTCTGCATTTTTATTTGTCATTAGGCCCAGTCAAGCCTGGGGGAAAAAGAAACTGGTGTTTCCTCCAGTGGGTGAATGGATACAGTGTTGTCAGGTAAATATGGAGCTGAGGAGTACTCGAAGGCAAGGGAAATATATTGGGAAAATTCTGGATGTGAGATGGTGGCTCAGATCAATAGATTAACATTTAATTTACCATTTAGGGTCATTGAAGTACAGCCAGAAAAACTTTCAGCTGAGTAATAAAGGATTGGGTAACAGGCCAGAAAGAATTTTAGTAAATTCTCACTTCATTCTCCTCTGCTTCCTTGTTCTCCCAGTAATTGAATAAAATTGTATGTAAAGCTCACAACTGAATGCTTTTCAAATCAAAGGTGTTCAGGAATGATAAGTTCTTCATTTTTCTGTTTTTATTCTGTTTTCTTTCCCTCCTTTCTATCCTTTTGTGTTCTTTTTCTCTTTGCATCTATAGACAGTCAGGTTCCTATTGTTCAAATTAATGCAAGTGCAAAAATAGTTCAAAACATCAGATAAATGCAAATATCTGGGAACCAAATTAGTGGAAGCTGACATCACAAATCTCAGGGGTTTTTTTTTTCTTTCCCATTTGTAAGACAGAGATGAGACATATGGAAACAACCTGATAATAGATAGGTTTTCCTTTTTTTTTTCTCAAGTAAATCTTTTAGATTTTGAGCAAGAGTTAGTATTAACTCCTTTTAAAAGTTTGTTCACTCATGTATAACTGAAAAATTGTGCTCTACACTGGAATTTGACACATTGTAAAATGATTATAAATCAATAAAAATGTGAAAAAAAGAAGTTTGTTCACTTCATTATAGATTGATACTCAAAATGCATTGTAATATAACCCTCCAGAAAAGCTGTTTAGCAGTATCCACTAAAGTTGAGTATGCATCTGAACTTAGGGCCCAGCAGTTCTGCTTACTGTATGTGCCCAAGAGAGTATGTATCCACCCCGAGATAAACATAAGAAGTTTACATCAGTAACAGCCCCAAACTGGAAAAAATCAAATGTTTACCAGCAGAAGAGTAGGTAGATACACTCTTGTATCTATTACTCAAAAATAATGATGAGCAAAAGATGTCAGACACAGAAGAGGACATACTGTATGATTCATTTTATAAGAAATTCAAGCCCAACCAAGTTGAATCTACGGTGCTAGAAGTCAGAATAGTGGTTACCAGCTGGTTGGTGGGAGGAGTTTAAACAGATAGGGCCGGGGCACATGGAAACCTTTTAATTGCTATAAATTGTCTAAAGCATGAGCTGGATGGAGATTTACATTTGTGTATAACAGTGTTCATCAAGCTGTATAAGATGATCTGTGTACTCTGCTATAACCAAATATTTGATTTTAGTTTACCCCTTATTATTATATAAATATCATTTAAAAAAAAAAAGAAGCAAGGAAGTTATGGTTACTTGTTGCAGGATTTTAATTTTGGATTGACTTTTCATCTTGTGGCCACTGTAGTGAACTGAGCTCTTACTGTGTTTGATTTGGATCCTCAAAGCTGCTTTACTCTTCAGAATGTTTTAAATTGAGGATTATTATTTTTGCATTTCATTGATCTTATACAGATGAGAAGTAGTTTGAGGAGCTTTTAAGTAAAAGGGAAAAGCTTGCCTGAAGTTTGAAAATTTTTCTAAGGATTGGCTGCATATTTAAATATAACATATTTAATATATAATATATAACTATATAATTATACATGATTAAAAGATATAAATGTATTTATATATTAAATATAATATAGAAGCTGTCTTAAACTATGTACTTTGTCTCTTTTATACTCTTCTTTTTCTAAGTACATTGGTTATTTAATGGGAGTAAATAACACAACTTTTATATTAAACTAACATGATTAACTTAAGTCTGAAAATACATAAAAGCAAAAAGTAGCTATCAATGAGGATATATGATCAAGCCATCAAAAGTTTAGATATTTTAAATGATTTGTATTAATGATTTAAAGTTTCCCATTTTACTCCTGGCTAACAGCTTTCAATAAGTTTATCAAAGGCTTTTTGATAATCATATACAGTGGATTTGGGGTTTCTAGGCTCCCTGAATAGCTCTTAAGAACTAACCTCTTGCTTCCTTTTGCCTCTTGTTTTTACAGGCTGCCCTGCAAGTTGGGGGCCATGGAGAAAGGCTGCACCAGTGTCGGGAGGTCATGCTGCTAACTTACAAATCCATCCCCATGCAAGTGGATGGGGAGCCCTGTAGGCTGGCCCCAGCTATGATTCGGATCTCACTGAGGAATCAGGCCAACATGGTTCAGAAGAGCAAGAGGAGAACGTCCATGCCTTTACTCAATGAGTGAGTTGGCCCTTGCCCGCCTTTGTGAACACAGAGACCGTGGAGAGGAGGGCACAGCGCATGTGCATGGTCGGGGGCCTCCCTGTGCTGAGAAAGGAGAAGAGTCCAGGAAACTCAGCAGATCCTTGGTCTGTCGCACATATTTCTTCTTAATGTTTACTGATCGGTGACCACGCCCTTCTTTCAGAAATTATTGCTGTATGGTACGTTAGATTGATGACACTTCTTCACCGACTGTTTGAGTTTATATTTACTGGGACCAGCAGAAAACCATAGAGTGACTCAGGGTCAGAAAGCCTGTCTAGTTCAACGTGTTCTTTTTCATTTTAAGAAGGCATGCCTTCGGCCTCCTCTTTACCCTGGTCACTTGGAGAGTGCCGGTTTCCCCAGGCGCCAGAGGTCGGCACAGCGGGATTTGGGCCCACCTCCCTCCACACTGCGTCCCCTTCTGCCCGTTAGTGGGTTGTCCCTTTCCTGATGCTCCCACGTGGGGGTCCTGTGTCCTCTGATGTTTCAGCTCAGCTTTGCCATTCCGGCTGGCATTCTCCTGCCTAGATTGAACCTGACCCACTGCCCAGTGCTTAAGCGAAGTGTATTCCTCCTGGCCCCTTTCCTTTCCTGGGTGTTCTGACAGACTGATTTGAGAGGTGATAATGACCAGCTGCTGAGAGTGTACGTTCATTTTACAGAGCCCCTTAATCTAATTTTTGGTTGAAATGTCTATTTGGGGTTGGAGAACGGAATGGAGATAGAGGCGGATTTGGGGCATCTTTCTGAGTATCGTCTGTATATCATGCCCCATGCCTGATCTGACCCCAGGGAAGGCCATGTCAGGGTTCAGCCTTGGGCCATCCTTCTTCACAGTGAGGGGCCCTCCAAGGTGCTCCTCCTGTCTGTGGCCTGTGCTGCATGGTTACCTATTTGTACTGAACGGCTGGCTTCCTGTAGTGCCTGTGAAGCAAAGGCATGCTTTGCCACATACTTATTGAGAAAATACGGCCATCTAAAGAAGTGCCTGGAACAAGCCAGTGACACAGGTGTCATCACTCCCTGCCAAAACCTCACCTCTCTTTCTGAGATGGCATATGTTGAAGAACGGCATTCGGCAGGGCTTTTAGTTTTTAATGTTTGCTCGTAAGTCTGAAGCTGGGGTGAAGGAGCCCCTCTCTTCTGCGTCCTCCTTTTGCAGTCACTCAGGACTTCCCAGCACGTGCCTTAGATCGTTATCCAGGGGGATTTTTTGGTTGTCGTTTTCATTTTGTTTTCCTCTGGCCGCTCGTGAAACTCTTAGTTCATTTCTGTGGCTGTCTCTTTTCTCTGCCTTTACCTTCTATTAGGTTGAATATGCAATTTAGTGAGTTTCAGGCAGAATGTCAGCAATAAGCAATCATATGTGGTTGACTGTTTTCTCTCTAGAAATATTAGAGTTAAGCTACGAACTCTTGCTTTGAGAGAAAGCTCTGAACTACTAAGCAGAAAGCCCTCTCTGAGATAGTCCAGGTTGTTTTGGATCATTTGTAGACAGTTTGTTAATAGAGTTGAAAATTTTCACAAAGCCAGGACCTCATGCATGCTAAGCATGCACCCTACCACTGAGCTAAACCTTCCCCTCAAGAGCTGAAAATGCTTTTATGTACAGGCAGAACTCCCATTTTCATGCCTGGTGCTTCTACATTTAATAACCTTATTAGACATGAAGTTATTTTCACATGTTTAGTTTCAGTTTTTGTCCTTGAGAAAGAATTTTTATTTGCTCAGTAAGGGTACTGTTAGGAATTCATCTGGGCTTTTTTCCACACATAAAAACAAATGTGAAGAGTTATTTTCTTTTTGTACACATAGCACACACAACAGTTGATGTGACTTCTTAGGTTTAGCTGCTTGGGTCATAGGTCAAGCAGCAGTCTCAACTCAAAAATACTGTTACTTCCCACCACGGGGCAGTGGCGCCTCCAACGAAGCAGCCTCAGGCCATAGGAAAGACTTGTGGGAAAGGGCAGTTAATAGTGGTTCTGTTCATTTCTTAAAAGAACATATGTAAATCTTCAAGGTTAGCCAAGATCTTTATTGTCTTATTATTAAAATGATCATTCAACACTCCATTTTTAGAAAATCTCTCACCCACTACTCTTACCCTCTGTGATTAGATTGCTTCTTTCTGTTTCACTAGAAATCCTTGCTTGGAAATTTAACTTCTTCCACTGGATTTCCAACTGGAGCTTCCAGTTCAAAGGCAGCCTGGCCATTAATACCTCCTTACCAGTTTTCTTCCATCTTCTGAGTCCTCCAAGCTTTTCCTTATTTGGGCTGCAGTTGTGCGAATTTCACTGTTGGAGCCAAGGCAGAAAGAGATCATTGAAAGATAATTCTTTATTTCCTTTATTTTTTCCGTCCTTCTTTCCCTTTTTTCCCTTGCTCTCTTTCTTATTTTTAACTGTTTCTTCTGTGTCATTTGCCTGCCTTCTTTCAGAAGAAAGAGGACTGTTTAAACAGGTTTTAGAATTTCAGTTTAAAACCCTGTTGGCGGGGCAGGGGGTAGTTTCTCTGTCAGAAGAGGGTAGCTTTTCAACTCGTCTTAAGGACTTAATGCTCCTCTCACATTGCATGTTAACATGAATATTTGAGATTTGAGTGCTGAGGCCCTCTCTTCTGCTGGAATGCAGGTGTTCCTCATGGGTTTGCCCCTAGGAGAGCACACCTGCCCCCCAGGTGTCCTCTAGGACTGATGAGCTGATGAGTCTCAAAGCTGTGTCTTCAGCCCAGGCTTTCTTCTAAATACTGAAGACTCAGACCCAAGTATCTTAGTTGACATCTTTACCTGCATACCTCATGGCAACCTGAAACGATCTGCTAAGAAGGGACTCCTTAACTCTGTTCCTTTGCTTTCCCTCCTCCTCCCCCGGTGAGCCCTTTCCATTCACATCTGTACTAATGGACCACCATCCGCTCATTCAGCATGTCCCTGGCCCTGGAGTCCTCCCGGTCACCCCCACTGTTACACATCCCATGCATTCTCTGAACTCTCCCTCCTGTTTACTTCCCACATCTTGAACTCTCACAGCGTCTGTTCCCTCTGCTAGTAATACAGCCGTATTAGTTACCTCTCAGCAGCATCGCTAAAAATATGCTCAGTTCATTTCCTTGCTTCCAGCCTTGCTGCCCTTCACACAATAGCTTTTCCAACAGACTAGTTAGAATGATCTTTCTGAAAATGTGAAACCTATATTCCTCTGCTTTACAGACTGTTTGATCATTGCCTTCATCCCCATCTTCCTGTGCTCCAGAGATTATTGCTATTCCTGGAGCAGTACCTCCTGTCTCGTGTATCATCATATTTTTGCCCTCCTCACCTCCTTTTCATCTGCTAGCTCTTGCTCGAGTTCAAAACTCCGTTGAAATACCCCTTTCCCTACAAATCCTTTTCTGTCTACTTCTAGCCATTAAATACGCCACTCTGCACTCCTGTAGTGCTCTCATACCATTTATCCAAAATAGTGTCATTCTTGGTTTACTTGTCTTCCCTGCTCTGTGGGGAGACTCTGGGGTTTTCCTCTTAGGGTCCCCAGTGCCTGCCAGTGTGTCTGAGACTTAGTGTTGAATAAGATCTATAATATTCTATCTGTTACATGCCTCAGAAGTTGATTCTAAAACAACACAAATCTAAGACCTCATGAGTATAAAAATAATATAGACAATGTCTTGGTCACATTTTAGGACAATAAGTGGAAGATGTATACTTAAGAATGCCAAGATCTGGTGTGCATGGATGACTGGAGGATTTCCCATGAGAAACAGCTAAATAGGCTTTTGTGATGACACTAGATCTTCATTTATGCAAAAAAGGAAAGAATTTCCTAAACAAATATTTATTGGGTTATTCTATTTGCTGTGACTGTGCACAAGCTAAAAGGCCAGGCCTGTATGTTAAGTACCCCCTCCCCTGCCCACCTCCCCAGCCCCCCAACCGGTACAGGAGCATGTCTCATGTATCATGGCCTATGGGTCTACTCAAAATACGACTCCAGGAAACATCTTCCCCCCCGATAGTAATAGAGCAGATTCATCTGAGTTCACGTTCATGTACTAGTCACATGATCGCTAGATAAGTTGATCACACTATTTGCAAGGCGCTTTTGAAGAAGATGAGAAATTTAACATTACTCAGGTGCTTAGGAGGATCTTAGCCTGAGTTGACTAGCAATTAAGACAACACGGTTAAGGGTGATTGTATTATCCAAGGGCAAGATGTCTAATTGGCAAAATTGGAATCTGGCGACCGGGTTCCATCATCCTGAGCTGCTGAGAAGTATTACTGGTTATAACTGATGGCCCGTTGAGGATAACGAGGAGTTAACTCATAAGTGGCTTCAAATGAGAATTGGCATACCTAGCAGAGAAGAGGGATGGGGGTGGGGTATGTCTACTGCAGTCAGAGTGAAACTGTTCAGGTGGTCTGAGAGAGTGGAGAGAATGGTTATGGAAAGTGGCAGGAAACCGGGGATGTAGTTTCCTCAGTTCTGCCTTTTGTCTTTCCTGGTAACCACGGAAGACCCCCCTCCTTAATAAAAGACGGGAGAACAGCGAGAAGCCTGTTCCACTCCTCCACCAAGAATATGAGTGGAATTATGGCATTACTGTGATGAATCTAGGCTTTCTTGGTATCACTTTTGGATTTCTTTAAAAAGCCCCCGTGGTTTAACTGAAGGCAGGTGAAGTGTTTATCTAGTCGCTCTTTTTAAGCTGGTTGCCTTTTGACACGAATATTCTAACAAAGCCCTGGAATCATGAGGACAGTGTTATAGCATTCAGTACCTTGATTCTCCTCAAAGATGAGTTGGCTGTGCCAGCCCACCGTGAGAGTGTGTGTGCACGTGTGTGCGCGTGTGCGTTTGCGCGTGCGCGCACGCCGGATGGACGCCCACGACCTAGGGCCAGAGAGGACCGTGGTAGCCCTCCTCCCGCGCCGCCCTGCGCAGCATCAGCGCTCCTCCGGCCTCCGCAGGCGCCCCGCCTCGTGCTCCAGTCTGTGGCTTGCCTGAGGGCCGGCCCTGCCGTGTGTCCTGTTGGCTTCGTCGCTGTCACTGGCTTTTTGGATTATTTCCGTGGCTGGCTCGATTTTCCTTTTCTTTTCGTTCACTGTTTGGTGATGCGCTCATTTAATTTCTGTTTAAATTTTGTGTGTCTCTCTTTCTCTCTCCTGGCTTGTTGCCTGTCTGTCCACGCTGTTTTGCTGACTGTCTTCGCTGCTCATTCCCTGCTGCCTCTAGTATCCATCAGGTGCAAGCTGCGGACCTGCGGAGAGTGTCTGCCCCCCCTGGCTCCTTCACCATGTGAGTACAAAGCCGTTCAGTTTTTACACTGTGTCTCTCACCCTCATCTCCTCCTCAGGGTCAGACTACCTGCATCCCATCCTTCATAGGTCTGCCTCTCAGACAAAGAACCACTGCACCCTCATATGCCTTCTTCAGCCCTTCTTTGATTTGAGATGCAGCTGTGAAGTTGTGTGTGTTCTATTTGTCTCAGTCCTCTGTGAGTTCACAGTTTAATTTTTTGACTAGATACTTTAGGGTCCAGAGTTACATGGGGTTGTATAAAGTTCCATACTAAGCATTGGTTTATGGGAAGTGTGTAAACCCATCAGACCATTCCACTAACCGTGGCTCAGGGATGACCTTGAAGAGGCGCCTGCTGCCCTTGATTCTGTGGACCGACCCCTGAAATTACGTGTGGAGCTTTGAGTGGATGCACGTGCATCTGTGCATGTTTCTGGGTTGAGGATCCACAGTTGTAATAAAAGATCAATGACCAAAATTTGTTCCTGAGTTAGCAAAACACATTTTATACATAGTAATTTGTACTTAACATGCTCTGTGCTTCAATTTTTTCTGAACAGAAGGAAAATGTTTTTAAGCACTTCACTTCAGGACATTTTTTTATGCTGGTGACTGTGTCTTGCCCTTTCTTTTCTCCATCTTAAATATACTTTTATGGTTTTTCAGGTACTGTTACAGGAGCTTTACTTATGTTAACCAACTTACTCCCCCGACAACTCTATGCCTTGTGTGATATAATTATCTCCATATTATACATGAGGAATCTGATGCACAGAGAAGTTAAGTAACTTGAGAAAGGTCACACAGCTAATAAGTGGTAGACTGGGGCTCGTACTCCCACAGTCTGGTTTCAAAATTCATGCACTTAACAATTTATAATCCACCACTTTTCATCTGTCAGTAACCTATGTATTTCTTAAGGTCCCGTTGAATAACTGTCTTTTCAGAGAATTGTACCTTGATTCTTGCTGGCAGAACTAATTACACCCTCACTGGAGTTCACTGTTGATGTACTTATTATAGTTCTCAAAGTATAATTGATTAGTACTAATTACATTAGCAGTATATTCTGTGTTTCCCACACTGCACTAGACTTAGGCCACTTGAAATCATTTACAGTATCTTGTTATAAATCTTTGTGTTCCCAGCCCCAGTCACAGATCTTTACACAGAGTATTCTGAAACCAGAATTGTTGTTTGGTTGGTAGAATGAATGAATGAAAGAATGCATGTCTAAATAGAATTGTGCAGTATCTAACGCCTAGGGATATGCCAAAGTGACTCCTCAAGTTCAACTATATATAATTTTACTTTGAGCCCTAATCTTGTAGATACTCATTTATTTATTTGTTTAATACAAAGTATTTTTCCAAAACTAATTATTTTGTACTTGCTGGATGTCAGATTCTCTTTTCTGCCTGGTATCTAGTGGTGAGCACAACAGACCTATACCTTTATGGAGACTAAAATTTAGCAGCAACGAATCAGTAAGAAAATAATATTTAATTCCCACTGTGGAGGCTATTGCTGGGATGTATTATTTGTTCCCCATAAGGCCCATTCAGTAAATTTGAATCCAAAGAATGGCTCTCAGTGATCATTATTTTCAGCAGCTCTGTTGATAGAGTTTAGGGAATTGCAAGTATTAGCAACAGGGGTGCAGGGGATGTTTGTCATATTTCTATCACTGTTTAAGTTTGGGTTGTGTTGAAGTTTTCATCGTATAATTTAAATGAGGTTCTGCATTACTTTTTCCAGGTGTATATGCTGTTGTAAAGTGAACTGTCATATTTGTTTTGATCAGGGAGGAGTAGCCATTTAAAACTTGAATATGAGCTAAAATATTTTATATATGCTATATTAACTATTACATGTTGCAGATTTTATATCCCTGCATCTGATGAAGTATTTATGTAATAAAAATTTATTAAATTAGAGTATTATCTTAAAAATTAGATAACAAAACACTGTCAAACAGAGCAAGGAATGTGGAGAAAGATCCAAGCGCAACAGTCAGCGCTGTCTTTGTATATTATGACGGTGGTGACTTAGCTTTGACCAGCTGTCACACTGCTTATTGGCAGCCGTGTTTGAGAATCACATTAACGTTGTTTTGGACCTCAACGGAAGTCAGGACTCCAGTATCCTGGGCCAAACTTTCTCTGATCTTTTTTTTTTTTTTTTTTTTTTTTTTGGATTCTTGGATCAGCTATTTTCTGCTCAGAACAACTTTTTTACATGATCTCTTCTTTGGGAGAAGCCTCTCTTTCTGCTGTTCCTAAAGTTCATGTTACTTTCCTAGAGCAACTTGAATTATCCTTTCTCTCTAGCTGTCTAATGACTTCTTGTTTCTTTAACTAGGGAGGGGGTTATGTTCTCCTTCCCCAATCTTCTATCACTTATTTTTTCAGAGTTCTCAAATACCTGCTTTATGAAGTCTGTCCAGGTTTTATAGCTACATTCACTGTGGGAGAAAGAATGGTGTATGCTGACCCACTTTACCTAGAACCAAAACATGTCTACTGCCTTTTAGAGCAGAGAATGTTCATACTGTCTCCTTTCTTCCCAGACTGCAATTACTCTGAATGCCACAACTAAACTCAGCAAAACTACTCTGCAGAGAAACCAGTGTATTTTGAATTATAACCAACAAGTGTTGAATGTAATGTCATTTTGCACAGCAGTTATGATTTGCACATAAACAGGATGTTTCCCAATGCTAAATTGTGTGGATTTGTTTGTTCCCTTAGGGAAGGCAGAGTTAGACATGGATCCATGAAGAGTATGAATGGTCATATTTGACCACAAGCTGAATATGATTCAGCATTCTAAAACTGCTTTGATAAGTGAAGACTTCTTGGTACAGGATGAAAGCAAATTGATATTTGTCCTAAAAAGAAAGGGAGTTTTATCAAGAGAAAGAGGAATATTTTGAGTAGGTCTATTTTTTTATGGTTTTCTTTTGTGTTGAATTTAAGAAGTTTGTTACTGAGAAACTACCAAGACAGAACCAAGAATCTTTAATCTTCATGATTGAAGAAAACATACACTGGTCATAGGTGGTTTAATAGTTGCATGCCTCTGGCCAGGGAAGTAAACTGGAAAATCCTTTGAAGTGTTTTCTCAAAATTCTGTAATTCTGTTCTCCAACTAGTCACATCAAAGCTTTTGTTTTAACATTTCCCTGAATTTGTGTATTCTGCTTTAAAAGGTCTGTTTATTTTGTTTATTCAGCACTGGCCCTTTAATTAGAAAAATTAAGACTTGGTCTGCTTTTTTCAGAACGCTTTCTCTTTTCCTTTCTTCTTTCAATAAACTTCACTTAACCACACGCTGGACTCTCAGCGGGTGGCAAAACCATTGCCAAAGTAGAAATTGATATGCATTCTTTTGTAAACTGTGAGGTTTACCTCTAAGGTAGCCAAGAAGATCCACCAGATGGGTTTGCCTCAGAATGAATTAAGCTGTTGTTGGTGGCTAACACACCACCTTCCCGAGAACCTCAGGATGAACAGAGCTTCGGGGCCAGGTGAGCCTTCGAAGGGCGCTTCATGTCTAGGGCAGGCACCTGTCCAGATTCTGATTCGTGGATTATAACTTCTGGGTCATAATCACTGGACCCCAAAACCAATGGCGAGAGTACCAGAAGGGCCTAAGCGTTAAAAAAAATTGTGAATATATTTGTTGTTAATGTTTCTGTTGTTACTATTGTTTCCCTGAGTGATTATCTCTGAGCAGTAGGATTCCAGATTGTTTTTTTATTGGACTTCTTTATTTTCTGATTGATTTCAGTGAACACGCATTACTTCTCTAAAGGGGGAAAAAGCAAAACATTAAAGTGTATATTTTTAAGAGAATAGGAGAGAATTGTTAAATCCATTGTTTGAGCAAATGGCATTTTTTTCAGTTCCCTCTCAGAGTCAGATGGCAAAGCATGAGTTAGCTTCAGGCTTTCTGGGAAATAAAGCTGCTTGCTCTCTGATCCTCCGAGCAGAAGAAACTGCTAAGCTTCACTCATCCCCTCTCCTTCCTCCTTTTCTCTCACTCCCACCGCACACTTTCCGAATTTCCTTCCCAGTGATTTCACTTCCCACTGTGCAGTTTCTTGATCTTTAGTCATGTCAAAATACTGTGCTGTCCTTTCTTCTTAGGCCACTCCTCTGTGCTGCTTCCAGAAAAATGGAAAATTCTAAAGAAAAGTTAAGAAGCAGCTACTTGGGATTGAGATCATACCAATTTCTGGACTTGAGCCCAGGTTGCAACTCAGATAATTTTTTTTCTGCCTGTGCTTCTGTTCCCACTCAGGTAGCCAGGGGAGATGCGGGTCTGGTGACTTAAAGACCAGGGGGCAGCAGGAACAGACATGAGTCTCTAACTGCACTGTCTTCCTCCTTATCCTGTAGTCCCCAAGCCCCAAGAAAACATCCTTCTTTGAGCGTCTAGAGGAGCCTTGATTTTTTTCCATATGACATTGATCATATAGTAAACTTTTTGCATTTCAGTTTCTCAGATATTAAAAAGAAACGTAGTTGGTCCCTGGGATTTCTATCAGCAATGAAGTTCTGTTGTGCTAAAAATCAGGGCATGACCCTAGACTCTATGATCTGCCCTAAAGGGATCTAAGACATGAAGTAGGCGAGACTTGTCATGGGATGTGACAGGGTCATTCTGCATCAGGGAGGGAGGCCCTGCACTGCCTTAGTACACTCTCACCTTGCTCCCAGTGAGAACTCAGGCCAAATTTTTCACTGAGTCAGGGAGGTACTATGGGCCTGATACTGAGTTGTGATTGAATTTAATTAGCATCCTGATAACTGTGTGAGGCAACAGTTGCTGTCATTCCCATCCCATAGATGAGAAAGACTGAACTGATAAGAAATATTCAGAAACTTGCTTAAGATCATATGCTATAAAGTCATGATGTTAAGTTTAACACCCAGGGCTGTTTGGAGGTAGCATTTAAGGCACTGAATTCTGCTGTCTGTATAACCTCTGGT